TTTACCTCCCTTCATACCGTCTCCCAACCTAAACCTTGCAACCCTTTGCCATCTTTCCTCCTTCCAGCTTCTCTTTAGGTACTCTGGCACTCCCCTTTCCTTCACCCTACCGTACCATTTATCATATCCTTATTCTTTCCTACCTTTCCTCTTCCTGCCACCTCCTCTCTCTTGCCACTACCTCTTCCCCCCTCAACTCTCCTCCCTCATCTTCTCTATCTTCTCTATTTTCCATCTCTTCTCCTCGTAAAAAGCTCTCCTCTCCTCCTCCCATTTTCCCACCACCTTTCCTTCCTTCGCCCTATTCCTCATTTCCTCCCAACATATCCTTGCCAACTCCCCTCCTTCTCCTTCTCCCAACTTCCTCTCAAAACTCCACGCTCTCAATCCCGCCCTCCTCCTTAGCTTTTCTCTCTGCATCTCCTTTCTAACCATGTACCCTGGTGTATATCTTCCAATTTCTAAAACCTATTTCATATATCCTGAATCCTCTCCATTCTCTCTCTTTCTTTCCATCCCCAAATCTCCACTCAAATTAACTATTGGGCACACTAACCTATCAAACAACCACATCCTTCTTGCCCAATCCTATCCAAACTTTCTTTTTCCTAATCCCCAGACTTCTCTCATCACCGCCGCCCCCTTGTTAATTCTTTCCCCTATATGTTCCTTCTGCCCCTATTAGCCATCATCAAGTATCCCAAATATTTATACTTTTTCACTTCCTCTATTTCTCTCCCTCTTCATTTCCACATCATCTTTTTCTGTCTTCCACTCCCTCTTCTACACCTCATCACCTCCGTCTTTTCCACATTCACTTCCAAGCCTTTCTGTTCCACATATCTTTCCAGTGTTTTTATCATCCTTTTCATCCCTACTTCCTCCTCCGCTATCATTACCACATCATTCGCATAAGCCAATGAATATATTTTCCTTCCCTTCACCTTAACCCCTCCCTATCCGCCATTCTCTAACTCCTCATCCAAGTCCGCCAACAGCAGGGTAAATAGACACGGACTCAGTGGGCACCCCTGTCTTACTCCTCTCCCCGTCCAGAATCTTCCTCCCTCCCTGTCCCCCACCCTTATTCTACACACTGTCTCCTCCAACATCTCCTCACACCTCACTACCAAGCTCTCTCTCACTCCCTTCCTCCTCATTGTCTGTACAAGTATCTCCCTGTCCATCGAGTCAAAAGCCGCTTTCATATTTACAAACATAACCACCATCTTGCCCTTCCTCTCTACCACTCTCTTATTTATCGAATAATTCAATACATATATTTGATCTATTGTTCCTACTCTTTTCCTAAATTCTGTTTGACTCGGTGACAAGATCCTCTTGCTCTCCATCTCCTCCCTCAGTCTATCTGCCAATACCGCAGCATATATCTTATACGCCGTTTGCGTCAGTGTAATCCCTCTATAGTCCTTCACTTTCTCCCCCTCACCGCTCTTCACAATTGGTATCACTATCCCTTCCTTTCAGTCTTTCGGCCATCCTTCTCCCTTCCATATTTTATTACATATCTCCCATAACCATTCTCTTACTTCTTTTTTCCCATACTTCCACACTTCTTTTTTCCCATACTTCCACACTCATTTACTATACCATCCCCTCCCGCTGCTTTTCCCTCCTTCAGCTTTCTTATCGCCCTTTCAACTTCCTCTCTACTTATCCCTTCTTCCTCCTCTCCTCTTCTCTACTTCCCTTCCCTTCTTACCCTCCAATCCAGTCCTCCTAACACTTCTCTAAAATATCTTCCCATACTCCTATTTCAATCCCTTCCCTAACTCTCTTTCTTTTTCTCCTTTCTTTATTCATTACCTTCCACACCATCCCTTTCCGATTTTACCCCTTCAATTTCCCTCTCCTATCTATCTCTCTCCCTTCGCCTCTTCTCCCTACACAGCTCCCTGTACCTCTTCTTTATCTCCTTATATTTCTCGTCCTCTCCCCCTCCCTTCTTCCATCTCTTAAATTCCTCTCCTACTTTTCTTTTCATCTTCCTACGTTCCCCATCCTACGTCCACCATCCTCTCCTCTCCTTTTTCTCTTCCCTCTCTACTCTCTCTAACGCCACTTCCACTTTCCTCTTCGGCTTCTTCCATTCCTCCTTCACCCTCTTGCATTCACTACCTTTCCTCCCAACGTATTCCCTAAATTTCTTTTTCCCTCCTCTGGCCATACTCCCCTTCTTCCTCTCCTCTTCCCTTTCACTGCCCTGTCCTCCCTATGTCCTCTTCCCTCCACCCATACCGTTATTGGTTGATGGTCGGAGTCCACCCAATCCTCCACCTTCATCATTTTTACCCTCTACCTCATTTCCCACCATATAATCTATAACCGTCCTTCTTCCTCCTGTATATGTCCACTCTCTGCTTCCGTTCAATATTGACCATCCTAGCTCCCCCAAATAACCACACAACTTCTTTCCTTCTCCGTTCATCTTTTCGTCCTTCGAACTCCTCTTACCATTCCCTCCTTCTCCCTCCCCTCCTATTCTTCTCTCTTCCCTCCCCGTCCTCGCATTGAAATCCCCCCTCCTCCCACTAAACCCTCACCCCCACCTCTCCATCCTCCAACCACTCTCTCAGCC